TCCCTCCCTTCTTCCCTCCCTCCGACAGGGTCTTGCTATCTATTTCTGGGTAATCTGAACTCACTATGTAAATCAGGTACTGGCCTTGTGCTGGGATTAAAAGTGTGTGGTGGCCTTTAATCCTAGCACTCGGGAGGCAGAGGCAGGGAGATCTCTGTGAGTTTGAGGGCAGCTGTGGCTACAGGGTCTCAAAAAGACCAAAAACAAACAGAGAGAGAGAGAGAGAGAGAGAGAGAGAGAGAGAAAGGGAGGAAGGAAGGAAGGAAAGAGGGAAGTGAAAGAGAAAGAAAGAAAGAAAGAAAGAAAGAAAGAAAGAAAGAAAGAAATATGTGTACATGGTGTATACAGGACAAAATGGAAAGCTTATTGTTTTTGATAAACTTTGAGAGGGAGCATTTTTCTAATTCACGTTCCATTCATCCGAAAACCTTCTACAGTGTAGAAGGTCAATTAGAGTAGGATAGAGAGAACCTAGAGAGAAGAAACAGAAATGGACAAATCTGCTTTGAGTTGTCCATAGGAAAAAAGCATGGCGCTAACTTGAAAACTGAAAGCCATATATAATTGGGAAGCCTTACTCTGGCTAGTACTTAGAGCTAGAGCTGTGGACGAGTCATGTTAGAAGACTGTTCTGTTCCAGAATATAAACAAAGAAGCATTCAATAGAATTACAAGGATGAAAGAAAATACTGTACCTTTGTAAAGTTAGTGAAAATATATGGATAGTTATGTTTAGTCATTTATTTTTTATACTTGAGATTTGAATTGTGCACACTCTCCCTTGCATTACTTGATATTCAATTTTTCCTAATCAGCTTCAGACAAAGAGAATCTGAATTATACAGCATGTGTAAACTTCACATTGAATGGTAATTAGTCAGCTGCTTAGTAGCATTTAATGTTGATGTTAATGATTCAATAAAATTTAAAAAAATCTACTGATTAGGTTATATATAGATATATAAAAATAAAATATTTTTAAAAGTCTGTATTGGATACCACTGTGTACTTTGTTTTTAATTTTTTAAAAATATTTTATTTTTTATTTTCATTTTATGTGTATGAGTATATTGTCTGCATGTATGTGAGTGCACCCGTGTCATGCAGTGCCATGGAGGTCAGAAGAGGGCCTTGTATTCTCCTGGAACTGGAGTTAAGGATGATTCGTAGCTGCCATGGGGGTGCTGGGAATCAAACCCAGGTCTTCTGCAAGAACAGTCAGTGCACTTAACAGCTGAGCCATCTCTCCAGCCCCTGTTTTTTAATTTTTAATTATATTTATTTGTGTGTGTATATATGTGTAGGTGTATACGTGCATGTCGTCATGCACTTGTGAGATCAGAGGACAGTTTGTGTTTATCTGTTCTACTATGTTGGTTCCTAAGATTGAACTGTGATTGTCAGTCTTAGCATCAAGTGACTTTACCTGCTGAGTCATCTTGCCATCATACCACTGTGTTTTTCATATTAAGAATTCAAGTTTATTGTACAGAAATAATATAATAGTAAATCATTGAAATACTCTTGTAGAAATTACCCCACCTCCTGCTGTTTATTGTTTCCTTTAATGTATAACATTAGTAGTATGTTGATAGCTTAAGAAATTGTATTTATTAAAATGTCTGATACTCCATATAGAATGAATATTTAATAGCAATGCTTGGGTATTCGAGGCCATAATTAGAAAACTGATTGCAAATTGCCAAACTCAAGTGAGTCAACAAATCAATTTAAAGAAATCTCGAGGATATTAGATTTGAAAATGCTCTTCCTTAATTTACTTTGTCCATTATACTTAACTTTAATTATTCATAGTATTGCTAAACATGCAGGAAATGTCCTGTAATAGAATTTATTAAATAATGAAATTTCAGTAATATGAATTCTATCTTTAGTATTGTGTTTTAAAGTCTCAGATTAAGATGTTTTGTAAGGTTATTTAGTATGAAGCATAAAAGCAAGTCTTTGATTAGTAATTTTATCCATTTAGTAATTTTGAAACCAGATATGCATTTCAGAAAAGGAATAATTGGGTCTATGTTTTTTGTTTGTTTCTTGTTCATTGTTGTTGTAGCACATAGATGACAAATGATTTTGCAAGAAACAAAAATATGTATTCCCAATGATGCAGAACAATGATGTTTCACCTAGAGTGTTGCTTTTGGTTGTGTATCTAAGAACATATGTACTCTATTCCTCTCATAGATGCAGTAAGTAGTAACGTGTTTATTTTGTTGAAAAATATAGCCTCTACCTCTACTTTGATTTCTTGTATGTGCCAGATATTTAAGGACTATAGGATGACTTTCTATAGCATCGACTTAATTGGGTGAATTACGCACAGGCAAAGGAGAGTAAGCAAGCCTGAGGATATAGATTCTAGTTGGAAATTTGACTGTGGTTCCATTAGAAGGTGGAAGTGAGTATGGAAGAGTTACTCTTTAGTATTGTTCAGGGTCTCCTGGTGTTTCTTATTTTTGCTGTTAATAGTGGAGATTCACAAATATGGTATGGATAGACTTAGGTTTTTGTCCCTGAGTAGTAAGACTATGGGAAGGTTTTATGTTTTGAAGGTGTTTTGATGAGTGAAAAATTTTGTAAAACAGGAATAGCTATCTCTTTTTCGTGATTGCACAACAGTAATGGCCAAAGACTTCCACTTATTTGTTTTGCTCCATTCCTTTGTTTTGTTTTCTCTTTTTTCCTACTAGGAGAAAGACATATTCTTCAATTGATGAAATTTTTGGTGAAAAAAATTGAGCTTTATCTTACTTTATTTCTTTTCGTGGTTTTGTGATTCTTTATATTGCAGAGATACTTAGAATTTAATGTAACCTGGCTTCATTGTGCGGCCCTAGACTACTTTCCCACTTTCTTCTCTGTCTTCTATTGTAACTGAATTCTCCAGTTGCAATCTGTGCTGTGCTCACTCTGTTTTAATTTATTCCTGTCAGTGCTATTCCATTCTACTGCTTCTGGTAGTTATCTGCTTATTCTCTAGGGCCCTATTCACATGTTGGTTTTCTAAAATTGCGAATAATTCTTTTCTTTTCTTCATGATCTCAGCCAAGCTAAATAGCTCTGCTTTTGCTTATCGTTGCACTTCATAGGTGGTTCTTGCAACACCCATCAATCATAGGTATGCTATAGCTGTTAGTGTGGAGCCATGTGCTCTTTGTCTTTGTACCTTCTAGGACAAGCATGTTATTAACATTTGTTGAATCAAACTGTGTTAAAACTGTATCCTTCTAATGATGGAGAAGACATCTTGCCTCATTAAATTCTTTGATCATGGTAACATATTCCCCTTCTGTTTCTCATATGTGTTATCCCAACATGCTGCAGTTAAAATATTTTTGGTATTAGGGATAGATTGAGAACAAAAAAGGGACCATTTTATATAGCCCTAACTCAAGGAGTTGGCTTTTGACTCTTGGTTACTATTTCATTTTGAGAGTTTCGTTTTCTTCTTTCTGTAGGACCCTAACAGGAGCATTCATACCAGCAGCAGTAGCAGCAGCAGCAGCAGCAGCAGCAGCAGCAGCAGTAGTAGCAGCAGCAGCAGCAGCAGCAGCAGCAGCAGCAGCAGCAGCAGCAGTAGTAGTAGCAGCAGCAGCAGCAGCAGTAGCAGCAGCAGTAGCAGCAGCAGCAGCAGCAGCAGTAGTACCAGTTTTTCAAAGCCTCACAAATTAATGAAGGAGCACAAGGAAAAACCTTCTAAAGACTCCAGAGAACATAAAAGTGCCTTCAAAGAACCTTCCAGGGATCATAACAAATCTTCCAAAGAATCCTCTAAGAAACCCAAAGAAAATAAACCAGTGAAAGAAGAAAAAATAGTTCCTAAGATGGCCTTCAAGGAACCTAAACCCATGTCAAAAGAGCCAAAAGCAGACAGTAACTTACTCACCATCACCAGTGGACAGCAGGATAAGAAGGCTCCCAGTAAAAGGCCCCCCATTTCAGAGTCTGAAGAACTCTCAGCCAAAAAAAGGAAAAAGAGTAGCTCAGAGGCTTTATTTAAAAGTTTTTCTAATGCACCACCACTGATACTCACTTGTTCTGCTGACAAAAAACAGATAAAAGATAAATCTCATGTCAAGATGGGAAAGGTCAAAATTGAGAGTGAAGCATCGGAGAAGAAGAAGTCAACATTACCACCATTTGATGATATTGTGGATCCCAATGACTCCGACGTGGAGGAGAACATGTCCTCCAAATCTGATGTGAGTAGGCTTGTGCTTTTCCTCCTTTCCTTTAGTATTTCTGGGTTTTGTTTCAGATCGCTTCCTGGTAAGGAATGAGGCAAGGACAGGAGTGCCAACCCCTAAGAAAGGAAGCATTGGAGGGGCCTCGAAGTGAATTTTCTTAACTAGTGGGGGAAGGAATGAAATCATTCGGGAATCTGTAGTTTTTTAGGTTGTTATGTAAGTTGTTAAGGAGGGGCTGGAGAGATGGCTCAGCAGTTAAGAGAACTGGCTGCTCTTGCAGAGGACCCAGGTTCAATTCCCAGCACCCACATGGTCGCTGACAACTCTATAACTCCAGTTTCAGGGGATCCGATGCCCTCTTCTGATCTCCATGGACATTGCACTACACAGGCACACTTAGGTACATGCAGGCAATACACTCATACACATAAAAAATAAAATAGAATAAATTTAAGATGTTATGGAAAAGATACATTCCACAGTACAATAAAAGTTATTTGAGTAGTAGCATATAAATTCTGTGTCCTTCAAAGCCTTGCTACTGTGATTTTCAGTGAGTGCTGATTTAGGGAAATGGGAGCAATGCACTCAAACTTGAATATAACAGAAAAGCAAGTTGAAAAAGAAACCTAAAAAATACTTCTGGTCATTATTATGAAGTACTTGTTTTAGATAAGTGAGAAGCTGGTTATAGTTTGTGATTTTTTTTTTTTTTCTGTGTGGTGCTGAAGATTGAACTCAAGGCCACGTGCAAGCTAGGCTAGCACTCTACCTTTGAGCTATACCCCTAGCCCCAGTGTTGATGTTATTTAACAGCTTTATTAAGCCAAAGTTTGTTGTAACAATGCATTATACACATTTAAAATGTATAATTTGAAACTTTTACTTTTCAGTATACTTGTAAAACTACTTTCAATTTGGAAAGGAAATAGTTTTTTTCATGTGTAGTCACACTGATTTAGAAGGATGAAATATGTGATTTGCTGTTTGTTTCCTGATAGATCCCTGAAGGAACATCTGACCATCCCCCAGTGTTGTTTGATATTAGGATTTAGAAGTACAGATTTTCAGCATTGGGTGGGAGAAATTTCCAGGCTATATATTTTAACCTCTTACTATTATAAAACCTTACATATCTAGTGAAAAGAGTGTTAGAAAAGTATTTGATTCTATTTCTAAAGAAGAAAAAATATCACTTATTGTGGTTATGTCTTCAGTTCTATTTTCTTTGTTTGGTCTTTTAAAATTATTTGTCAGTAGTGACCATTAATGCCAGAAATTTCCTTACTCTGTGTTGTCAGTTCTCTAGAAAATGGTAAGGAAAGCTGTCTTGTTAAAAATCACTGGCGGTTTTGGAATCCTTTCCTTTATGTCCCACGAAGTTGTCCTTGGATATCATCTGTTTTAACTCTGATAAAGGAGGAGAGGCCTTCCCTGACTTAGGTTTGCACTGTTCTACATAGCAAGCCAGTCAGAGTCAGGACAAGGTATCAGTACTGATCTCACTGGTCCAGGGACCACCTGCTCCCCATACTCTGTAATACTAATCTCACATTTCTGATCAAAGTTCATATTTGGAGCAGAGTACCACATAGAATAATGCAAGTTGGTAATTTGTTCCATTGCTTGATAAAGATAAGAATAGAATGTGTTAGAGTTGCCCACATGTGCACTTTCCCTTCTTCTGTACCTCTCCTAATACTTTGAAACTTATTCTTAATGCAGATAGTACTTTTTATGCATTTAACTTTTGTTTCAGATCATCTTAAAATGCTCTCAGGGTGTGATTAATGTAACAAAATTGTTGAGTTTGGCAACTTTGTCTATATTCTGAAATGTTACACTTCTAGTACTAAGGTTCTCAAAACTGTGGGTTGTGAGTCACTGTTAAGCTATGAAATCAATTTAGCATGTCATCACCAATATTTGAAAATTCAGACTGTGAATATATAATGGTTTATAAAAACTTTATTTCAGAAAGAATGTATTTCTTCAATGATCAAAACTTTCAAAGGCTGCTTCTTGGAATTTTTCCTGATTTGTGGGAAGACCAAATGACATTCATAAAGCATTATTAATGCTCTTTCTACATGAGACTGTCACAGATGATGCTCTTCCTTGGGCAGTTCTGTTTATTCTTTCATTTGTCCCATGCTCTTTCCTGTTTATGCATGATTTATTCTTTTTAATAAAATTCTTACTTAGTTTGGTATATTTATACTAATTGATACCTTGAAATTTCTTTTTAATAAAATTCTTAGTTTGGTAGATTTATACAATGCCTTGAAAATTCTTCTGAAACACAGAATTGTTTATTCTTAACAGTGGGTAGTTCACTTACAAAATGATGAATATTATAGCAGCCATAAACCCAGTGACCACAGTAGGAGTTCCTGTCATCATGTGCTGTACATAGCATGGCAGAGAAAGTATATTAATAACTTTTGAGTATTGTGTGGGTATGAAATTCAACACTTGTACTTTCAGCAAGTCTTTTGGTACTAAATGGTACTAAATGCTTTTGTGGTTGATTTAGTTCTTTAAGTGTCAGTGCTGTAATAGAAGTGCTGCTGTGTGAGTCGTGTATCAATGAGATTTTGCTTTTAGGAAAGAGACTGAAATTCCATTTATATAGTAATAAGGATAGCTTCATATTTAGACTGTCTTCTAACTGCGGGCAAGACAGTGGTAGGAATTGGAATGTTGAACACTGGACAGTTGGAGCCTTCCTTAGCCAGTAACTAACTGATCTAGTAGTACGGGGCTTGTCCAACTTCAGGGACACTATCCCTTTTCCTAGGGTGTGTGCATGTTGACCTCTGAGTAAGGGCGATTACCTGACCTGATTTTTCTAAAGTCCTTTGAAGCTTTATTATTTAAATATGTTCATTTGTGGGGTAGTAAGTAATTTTAGACAGAAGAGGCAGAGATCATGGACTCCAGAAACAAGAAAAAATTCACCCACCAGAAGAGTTTTAAGAATTAAGAGGGATGGGGAATGGGCTGAGGGAGTGGCTTCATTAGTCAAGTGCTTACTGTGCAAGCATGAGGACCTGAATTTTTATCTGCAGCACTTCTGCAAAAATCTGGTTGTAGGGCTGGAGAGATGGCTCAGCGGTTAAGAATACTGACTGTTCTTGCATTGAACCTGGGTTTGAATCCCAGCACCCACATTGCAGCTAACAACTGTCTATAACTCCAGTTCCAGAGGAAAGGACAGCCTCTTCTGTCCTCCGTGGGCACTGCATGACATGCAGGCAATACACACATACACATCAAATAAAAATAATAAATAAAATACATTTAAAAAAATCTGGTGAAATGGCACACACACATAAACCCCAGTTCTATAGGGGTAGAGAAGAAGGGGAGATAGATGGATCCTCAGTGTTTGCTGGCCAGCCAGAGTAGCCAAATTGATGAGTTCCAGGTTCAGCAAGAGACACTGTCTCAAAAACTAAAGTCAAGTGTGACTAAGGAAGACATCCAGTGTTGACCTCTGGCCCCCACATAAATACACATACATCACATATATCACACACATATAACAACAACAGCAACACCAACACCAACAAAATAAGGCTGGGGGAAATGATGATGTACTTGATAGTGTCTGTAAAGAAAGCATCTTGCCTCAGCCTAATTTTTAAAAAAATTATTAGTAATAGTATTTTAAAGAGGCTCTTCCATAACCAAATTAGGTTCAGATCTATCTTCCTTCTGCCCTCTCTCTCTTCCTTCCTTTGTTCTTGTCTTGACTTTTTTGAGACAGGTTCTCATTCTATAGCCCAGGCTGGTCTGGAGCTTACTGTATAGCGCAGGCTGGCTTCAAATTCACAACAGTCCTTATGCCTCAGCCTCCCAAGTCCTGGGATTCCAGTTATCAACCACCACTCTTGGCCAGGTTTTATATAAAAATAAAAATCAATAATATCAAGAAGGACAGGGAGTTTGGTTTATTGATTCATACAGGTCTTTTTGTCAAATTTTCATATATGAGAAAGAAGAAACCAGGCAGATTTCTGTGGCTTGTTCACTGTATGTCTTTGAGGGATCTCTTAGTTGTTGGAAGATGATAGAGAGTTAGGTGATGGGGAGTCTGGGAGCTGGCATTTGACAGCCTGTGTTTGTGTCTTAGTACCCTCAGGGAGCTGGGACAAACTAACATTTATTATTTTTTAGTTTCATCTTTTGTAATGTGGAGATCATAATCTGATCCATGCTGTAGAAGTATTATGAAAATAAGTGAGCCTGAATAAGACATTAACATTCATTATTTAAAAAAATTTTTTTTGGTTACTGCTCTGGTGACCTGGCTTCTGAGAACCTTTATAACCCATAGTCTTGAAAGAGATTTTACCATCTTTAAAATGACTGTAGAAATCATGTTATTTCTTTTTCAGGTGTGTGGGTTTATATGCTTTTTTTTTTTTTTTTTTTTTGGTCTTTTTGAAGCAGGGTCTCCCTGTCCTGGAACTTACTGTGTAGACCAGGCTGGCCTTGAACTCACAGAGATCCACCTGCCTCTGCCTCCCAAGTGCTGGGATTAAAGGTGTACGCCACCACGCCCGGCTTTTTAGTAGGGGAGAAATAATTGACATGTATCATTTTCCTCAGCATTTTGCCTTGATGTGTAGTATAATGATGGCATTGTTAGTAATATACATGTGCTTCACTGTCACTGGAAAAATAAAGGGCAGAATCTGGTTTTATACCAAAAGTTAAGGCAGAGTTTTGCAAGATCTTTTAGTTTTGTAATTGAGACCAAAGAGATGAACATACCTAGCGCTGCATTGGGTGAGGCCACTGGTGGTTTTCTTTTCTTTCTTTTTTTTTTTAGTTGCTATTTCTGGAAAAAGAACACCTCCAGATATGATTTATCTTTGAGTTCTGCTAACACAACTATAGTAGTTTTTTAAATGTTTGTGATTCCTTAAATGTTTTCTTCTTACAAAGAAATCTAGTATTATCATATGAAAGTTCATCAGGAACTTTCCCTGTAGAATTTGGATGGG